ATTATATTTTCAACTGAAATGAAATTAATTTTGTTGACTTTCGTTATGAGAATAGAAATTGAACGAGATTTTGAATCTTATCAGGGGCTTATTAGAAAATAAAACTCGAGTGAAGGTGGTGTTATTTCTCTTATTGCCATTTTCCTCTGCAGTAAGTGAATTTTTTTGCCACTTAAAAGTTGAGCTGACAGAAAGCTATTTGACCAAGCTCCGTTCTCTCTCTCGAAGCTGCACGAGCCACTGCCATATTGGACTTATACAAGAACTTGGCTGGTAGAATCAGGGTCTGGGATTGGTCCAGATGCCATAGAGAAAGCACAGTTCTATGAGGGCGCGCGCAAGTAAGAGAGTAAATAGTTAAGTTAAGTATGAGAAACAGAGAGACTGAGGGAGGGAAAAAGAAAAAAAAGTAGGGATGGCTTTCGACGCCCTGTTGAAATTGGCACGCGTCATATCGTAGGATTTTAGGACTTGGACCCCATCGAGACTTGCTATCTTTTTTTATTTCTTTCAAACTTACGAAGTTTCATTTCCTTCTCTTACGAGATATTTCTCAAGTTTTCTTCCTTTAACTCATTTTACTTTTCTTAAATGCCCAATCTTAAAATTGCTTTCTATCTTTCAAGATACGTTTTAATTTTGCTGTTGAATAACGCAATGGAACTTTTACATTGACTAAAAGGGTTGAATCATAAATTTCGCGTGTAATTTATTCACCCCGAATTGAATTTTGTTTTAATGCTGAGTCTTAGATGATATTATTTTTTTCGTGGAAAATAATTAATATTTTGGATAAATTTATTATTTATTTAATTACATTGTACAAGGAAAATTAATTTCTCTTGATTGTATTAACTGAAAAAAGACTCGATCTTTACTTATAAAGAGTTGTCTCTAGGCTAATCAGAAAGTTGTAACTAAATTATGTCCTTAAAAATAGATAAAGGATATTCTGCAGTCTGCTGACCACATGTTTAAAACTTAAACTTTATGATATGTAATAAAAAATAATTTTCCCTCCAGAAAATTTAGTAAATACAGCTACTCATCTGTTTAGACTTAAAAACCAAGACCACGTTAGAAGCTAGTACTTGAAAACAAACATAACATTGAAGAGAAAAATTTTTTGTATTATTCTAACAGGTAAGAAATATTTATAAAATAATTTCAATCACGTTTTCGGAGAAATAAAGATATTAAAGAACTGGTCAGATGGTGGAGTGTGTGCTCTATAGAACCAACAAAGCAAGGAACCATGCAAGAGTGTAAGTAAGAAGATTATGGGGGAGAAAAGTTTCGCACGTCATTGCTGGAGAACACTCGACAATAAATCAAGATATAGGGTTTCTTACCCCAAAGTTGTAATTCTCTTATAACTTTTTTTTCATCTCAATTAGTTTCTTCTTCTTCAGTGAACAAGAAAGTTGGAGATTTTATTGTACATCGAGGTTGAAAGTGCGAAGCAAATTACGTTAAATTATTAAATAGATGTTTTCATAAAAGAAATAAAAATAATTTTTTTGCAAAATGTCAAAGGTCATACCTAAACTAAACTCAATCCAAAAAAATCTGCTTTGGGAAAAAAATGTTGGGCAATAAAATGATGACTGTTTAGCTGGAGAATCATGTGGATTTAAAATTTTGTAAATAGTTTTGTGATATAAATCAATATAAATAATGTAAAAGACTTATATGAGATGACATAAAAAAAATCAACGAGATAAAATGAATGTTTTGATGCTTTTTAACATTTGCTCATATTATACTAATGATGAGTTCCAAATATCCTCCAATTGAAGCGGAAGCCGATTCCATTTACAAGCATACATGGCTCGTAAAATGTCAACTGATTTTATCACCAATAAATTTGCACCGTCGGCTGTTTCTATTCACACTTGAGTGATGGAACTCGGTCAATGTTTTGCGATCTTTAATTGTACTAATCAATTATCTAAACGAATTCTAATCCACCCTTATTAATACTCCATTGATAATTACTTTAAAAAACTAAAACCCCCTAAATAAATAATCCAAAAGGTTTTGCAGATAAAAATTAATCTAAAATTAATTAAATTGATAATTAATTTCTTTCATAGTTTTATTATGATGCACATGAATGCAGTCTGAGTTTATGCATACGAATATATGTTTTTTAATGCTAAATCAAGTGATTGAATCATAAAACTAAAACATTTGAATTTTCGGGAATAATGATATTAAATTCTTTTATGCGACAAAAACAGCAGAAAGCAGTAAAGTAAAAAATCGAGTCTGCTGACCAACGATCTCTCTGTATATATAATAAAAAGATCAGTTATAGTAAAAGATAGTGACGAAATGCAAGAGCTTTTCCATGTTCAGCAGCACCATGTTGCTGACCAATCTCCGTTCTCATATCTGCCAGCTTTTCCGTCATTTGGTCGCTCTGTTACGTCAGCCCTCCACCATCCCCCTCAGAATTCTCCCTTTTGTATTCAGGACCAAACTAGAATTTATTAAATTCCTCCTATTTTTCATCATTGTATGTTTTATGTTAAATCTTCTTGGTATCAAAAATCCTACTCTGGACTGGAATATTAACCTTGTTTTATGTTTTTTTTTTTTTTTTTAATTTTTTGTGGCAAAAGAGAAAGTTTTTTGATTTTCTTTGTTCTCAACTCTTGTATTATTCCTGAAAAACTAGAATGTAGACCGTAAAATCTAACACCATAAGAGTTTTGTTCGAGAATCCAATCGCTTTCGAAAAAGTCTAAGGCTTTGTTTCAACATTATTCAAGGATTCTCCATTTACTTTTTCAATTTACAATAAAATATAAATGATAAAAACTTTATTTATTTATTCAAATTCTTCTGATGATAATCTTTAAAGTCTTTGATGATCTAAAGATTTTTTTGAATAAAATATTAGTTGAAATTGCTTCATGAAAAACATCATTGAAGCAAGAGCAAGTCTTTTATAACAAGTGGACTGACACTTTGATTGAACTGAAGTGTTCACCATTTTTAATGGAGAACCCATCAAAAATATTTTTTCGCAACCAATCAAAAGTGTCTTATCCAACTTATCACTATACCCACATGAATATTTTAAATAGATAAATTGAAAACTTAACGAAGGTTTTATCGATGATTATGGGAAAGTTCTCGCGTTAAGAGGTTCTATACCTATTAACTACCTTACAAGCCATAGAACTTTATACCTGCTGTGGTATCAAGCATTAAAGTGTGCATAAAAGTTCCGAGTTACTTAGGTAGCCATTATAGCCATATTGTCATTTAACATTTTGCGGTTGTTTTTTAATTTTTTTATTTTTTTTTAGGCTGAAGTTTCCTTCGTAAACTTGTAAATAAAAGGCATCAAACTGTTCGGCGCCGTGGAAAAGACGTTTCACTCGTTCGAGCTGTGCCGAAGGTGAGCCTAATTAAGACAACTCATTTGCATAAATCATCTAAAATTTGATTCAAAGAAGTAATGATGAAATAATTATGATAAATATTTTTTATTTTGATTACATCTACGGCTTCAAATAACTTAGAGATTACGTGTACTACATCAAAAAAACATTCAAAAATTTATTAATCATTTTTCATGCAATAGTTTCATTAATTCAAACATTATAATTAAACGTAAAAAAATGTTTTCTTGTGCAATTTTTTTTTTAGGAGATAATCCTAAGACGTAGCTTAATCAATTATTTTACCGTTTTCTATCTTCTAATAATTCAGATTTTTTGAAAATTTCAGGCTGTCCGGCGTGTTTCCTCAAGGAACTCTGCCTGGTATACAAGGTGTGTATCTTCCTATTAATTTTCTACCTCTGAAAAAAAAAATTCAAGACAGAAACGATGGCAATGACCTTTTATTGACTCTTTGGATTACATTTTTAATCCTTTGATCTCTAATCGACAATTGAATTAAAAAACAATTAAAATAAAACTATATAAAAATTTTTTAATCATGTTAAATCAAGCACCATTATAAAGACATTAGTGTTTAAATTAATTAAAGCTCATATAATCAACGACCAAAAATATTTTGTTTTATCACGAAATTAAAGAACCTTGAGATAAAATTAAAAAATCAGTCACTATTTTGGGTTATTTGTTAGTAATAGAATCATTCGGGCGGATTTTTAAACTCCTAAACTTTGCTTTGAATATGTATTTGAACTGGTGTGTGATCTGAATGAAAGCATACTGCGCCTTGGGTTGTTGTAAAATCGTTTTAGTTTAGTACCCATAAAAGCACCGAGATTTAGACTTCAGAGTACAATTATGACGTATTCTTCAATTTCAGTATTTCGACTATTCCTCAATATTCTACTAAAAAAATAAAAAAAAAAAAATATTCAATACATCTTTCAACCCATTCCTCTAAATTTTTAATTTATTATATTAAAAAACTAATTAAATCACAATTAAATGTATTCATTCCACGTAGCTTTTTGAATAAATTTTTAAATATCTAATAGATAAATTAATGTTATAATAATTATGACATTAATTAAAAAGGCATTAAACAATATTTCATTCAAATAAACCGTAAGACCTTCGACAATATGAATAATCTTTTACTTAATTTTATTTTGATGCTTTGGTTCCTTAAGGCTTAAAAAAATAGTGTATATCTAACGGTTAATATTTGGAATGTCCTCCGGCAGTTAACTTTGAAGTGAGCGAGCAGATAACTCACATAGAATTTCGAGCAGCATGGATATGCTGAGTGTCTCGGATGAGAGGAGACAGGTAAAGAGAGAGAGGGCAAAAGAGTAAGCCGGGCGCGTGTGCTGGGGGCGGGGGGAACCCGCGAGCATAGCATAACATACTATCTACGTTATTTGAGCTTGAAGGGGGAAGAGGGAGAGGCCTTATTTTGAAGGGGGTGGGGGTAGTAGTAGGGCAGTTACTTGAGTTACCGAGAGATCGCGCTTGTGTTGACTTCGGCTTGTTCATCCGTCAGCTCCGCGCGACTGCCAGAGCTCAGTTGTCGCTCAGTACGGCTCAGCGCGGCCAGCTGAAAGAAAGGGGGTTTGACTTGCATATGTGTCATTACACACGCGTGTGCGCGACTTTGCCTTGTCAGCTACAACTAGTCCTGTCAAAACTCCCAAGGGTCAAAGGCTCGCAATTTATTCTTACCTGCTTATATTATTATTGAACACCGCAATAAAAGGGAAACGCGGACCTATAGAGAAGAAGAAAAAAAAAGCAAGGCAATAAAAGCAGCTACAACTTTTGTGAAAGCCGTTAGCGCCTATTCCGAGCATAATTTCAAACTCGGGTCTCTTGGATTTTAGAAGAAAAGACGTTGGAGATTTTTTTTTTTATATCAAGATTTCAATGTGTTGGTGATGAAGTGAGATAGTATTTGAGAATTGTGTTGACTCTATGATGCTGCTGACAAAGATCGTATTGTTAGGCGAGGAGGAAACGCATAAAAGCGTGACTCCTGTCATCTGTGTGACACGATCAAGTTATTTTATCATTAGTGACTCGCTTGTTTTAAGATTTTGTGTACCTTCTCTTCTTTAAACGACTTTGTTAGAAAGTTTTAAAAATTGCCAATTGTTTTCTGTCATAAGTTGTAACTATTTTAAAGTTTAATATAATTCACCTGAGAATTTAAATCAACTTTATATGCTAAAGTGTGTTGTGTTTTTTGTTTTGTTTCATCTCTGCTGTCAACTGGATTTACGGACTGCTTCATCGGATATCGTCTTGTGAAATTATTTAAAATAACTGTTGTTAAAAAAAAAAAAATCAAAACAATCTTACACGTGGATTTCGTGTTATAAAAAAATAAATATATATTTTTTTGTTTCTTGGCGGGATTATCCACGCGTCGGTGTATCTCAATTTAACACCCTCTCCTTCCAACTTTAATCTTTTCGTCCTCCCCCTTCCAACGATCCCCCGCCCCACCAAACAATTGCTACCCTTCCACCTGTCCACCGGGATTCTACTCGCGGGGGCGCTTAAACGCACACGTGCTGCTGCGCACACCAACACACGCATACGTACGCGTTTGTTCACGGACATTCGGGTGGTATCCCTACCTTCTGACATTCATTTCCCATCTTCATTCTTCTCTCTTTCTCCCCCTGTGACGATCTATTGTGGTTCTGATCCCTCTTTGTCTTCATCCCCTCACGCTTTATCCCTTTCTTTACCTATCACGCGGATTTTTTTCGTACTCGTAAACTTATGAATTTCTGTGCAATTATAATGCAACCTGTAATTTTGTGTAATTGAACATTGCAATCGCGTGCATAATTTGAAATACTGTAATTATTGAAATTTAACTGTTAAAACAAAAAATTTAAAATCGCGATATTGTAACTGTCTTAATAATTGTGTTCCTGCATTACCGCCACGATCTGCACCATCGCCGAACACGTGACTTGCTCAACGGCGACGCTGTACGACAATGTGCACGCCGCGCCGCTATGCGGCTCTGGCGTGGGCCACCCTGGCTCAATCTCATCGATGGGTCCAGGCACCGGAGCGGGAAATACCACCGGGGTGACCTGGTGGTCCATGATGAACGGTGGCCCTTACGAAGAAAGTCCGCCACCGATACCGCCACTAGCTTCATCTCTACTCTCTATTCAACATCAACAAACATCAACACCAGGATCTCACCAACAAGCAACCACACCAAGTTCTCCAGGTGCTCCAAGTTCTGTAACTGCCGCAGCACCAGCACCAACAGCCAGTGCCAGTTCCACATCTCCAAGTGCTTCGTCAGTGGCGAGTAATAGCGCAGCTGGACCGTTACATATTCCAGCTAAGAGGCTTACCGCTACTCCAGTAGGCGGAACAACTTATAGCGAGGTAAATTGCGTCGACACAGCTGGTGCTCCAGGATCCACAGCAGGAGTTATCAGACACTCACATTCATCCTCAGCGGGTTCTCAAAGCGGCTGGAGTTACAGTCCTCATAATCCTCAAGAAGCTTATCACTCCACAGCCGCCACGGCAGACTCCCTGAATCATCACCAAACGTACGGGGGAACTAATCCCCCTACATACTACAACCTGGCGGACTCTGGAATTGGATCGTCGAGGGATAGCCGTAGCAAAAGTGGCTTCTGGTCACCTGCAACGGCGAGCTCTGGACCAACCACGACTAGTGGGACACCTACAGAGTATAAATACAATCCAGCAAGTGCTGGAGGTCCAGCAACTTCATCAGCAAGTTCTGCATCTGGACCTACTGGTGCTCTAGACCCAGCAGTATCAACATGCCATCAGAGTTTCTCTCAAAGCTGGTGCAATTACTCTCCATACACCAGCACGAGGCATCACCATGCAGTAGAAACGGCTCATCATCATGCACATTCTCAAGCTGGTGTACCTTACCTCGCTTCCTCAGCGCCTGATGATCGAGGGCGTGTAGCAGCGATGGTTGCAGCTGAAAGTGCATTTCCTCATGATAGTTATGGCAGTTTGAGAAATTATGGCGGACCCGAACCCGTTACGTCCAGTCCTTATCCAACACCAGGTAAGCATCAATACTAACTTTTTGTCCTTTTGAACCCAACTTTTTTTATGATCTTCGTTTTAAAAAAAATGTTAAAAAAAACCTGTATCATGACGCGTGGCCACCAATAGCTCTATAACCATAGTCGTAAACTCGACGATTTTCATCCTCGTAACTCAAACCGGTGCTTCATAAGAACTTACGCGTTGATTAATGGTCATGACATAAGTGGCTATTAGTAACTGCTTGTCTTTTAACTTTTTAGTACTCTTTTCGATTTTACTTGATGAGCATTCTTACACGCTGCTTTAAATTGTTAATAACATTTCACAATAGTAATTAGTACAAGACGAGTAGATGTAACGAGTAATTTCAATAAGTCACGTATAGATATCTTTCTTAAATATTAAAACGTAGTTGTTATAACAAAAAAAAAAAGAAAAAGATAATTTACGAAGAGGAAGTGAAATTTACAGAATTCAGCTGGCAGTCTATTCATACTTTCCAACTATTGTACACTTGAAAGAACCCTCCGCTTGTGGTCCGTTCTCTTCTCCCAAGACTTATGGGATCCCGTAACCAGTCTATGAATCGTCACAAACATTATACCCAACGGCGCCAAGTTTATTGGCGATCGTAACTCGTAAACTCTCAAGCGCGTCTGCGATCAGCTGATTCGTTCTATGACCTGTAGGCTTCGTTTCATAATCTCATTCTTTAACAATCACATTTCCATGTGTTTTTGTTTTGTTTTTTAGCACAAAAAACTCTCTTATTTATTTGCATCCCTGATTTACTACTCAATAAATAATCAGTGCCTGATTGTAGTATGATTCTTCATTGATCTTTGGAGTAATGCAGCATCATTCAGAAGAAAAACGCGAATTGAACTTGACTTTTTAAATTTTTCAGTTGTTCGATACTTGTATGTTGGAGATATATTTAGAATAGTGAGCTGGAATATTCGTTCAATTTTACACCAAGAGATGGCAGCGGCTTTATCTTTTTACACTGGTTTCATGTCCTACATACTCAAATGCGCATGTCTTTTTTCGTTCAGTAGTAGAGGCAGGGAAGAAAAGACAGACTGAAGTAGAAAAGTGGGACGAACATCATTTCACGCAGCTTGCAATCCCTCGCTCAAGATTTATGATAGCGGTGTGACGTTGTTTCGATACGTTGAAAATAATATTGGTTTACTCACCCAAGCTGCTTTCAAAGAAGCACACTGCGTCTGTACCATTCAGTTGATGCTTCATCTTAATATAAATATCTGAAAGCTTTGATTTTTTATACAAATATGACTCTTCAGACTTTGATTAAATAAACAATAAAACTACAACTACTTTTCCTACTTTCTGTAGGTCTTCTAGATAATGGTATTGACTTACTGGAAATCGTTGTTTATTGCTATGTCACATGTGGTCGCTTTGGGGCAGAACGAATGTCATCGTTTTACCAATACCACTATAGTTTTATGCTTCCTTGTCCCTTGGGAATACCATTAGAGCAATATTTTTTTGTTTGATATATATTGATGCTATCTTAAAGTTTTTGTTTCCAGTCTACTGAATCGAAACGATTCTCTTCCACCAAATTGTGCTGGAATAACCGCATCATTTGCCTAAACTAAAAATAACTACTCATATTTAATACTACTTTTTGTTACTAGATATTGAAAAAAATATCTGAGTAAACATCAATAACAATTTTCTTATATCACATTGATGTTTGAAATTGAAGTAAATTGCATTGAAAGGATGACATTCAAATTATTTAATAAAAAAAATTAACTAGAAATTTTTAGAAATAAATGAAGAAATTATGATGCAAATTCATGTCTACATTCCTCGAGAGTAACAGTATAAATACATTAGAATAATTTTCTCAATAAATAATAAAATCTAAACTCAAGAAAAGTAAAATAATAAATAAATAGCAATAATTATATGCAAGCGTTATTTATAATATTTATATATTTCAAAAGTAACACTGAAAATATTCACATAAATATCAATTCTCATAAAAAAGGATGTTGGAATTTGATATGAGAGAAAATTTCACAGCACGATGTTGAGATTATATATAAGCTGAGAAGAAAATACTGAACATAAATAATATCAATAATAATTGAAGTATAGTTCAATGCTTGAGGATGTTGAATAGCATGTAGGTAGATATTTGTTCGTTATCCTCATTAGAACATATGATGACTGTACTTCACTGGTTTTGACTTCAATTAGTGGCTCAATTAATTCCATAATATTTTTGTAAAATGTTGCTTTGCGGCAGTTAACATAAATGGCTGCAAACTGTCACGTTAATTGATTCGTTAGTCAATCAAATGGTTGTTCTACCTGTTCATCAACGAATCCTATATTCTATACTCTATTCGTTCATGAGGATCCTGACCTCTGTCAATTAATTTGCATATTTCCACGTTTTACTGGGCAATAAATTCTTGCTGCTTAAGCAATCGCAACGCAGTCAACGTGCGTATGAGAGAGTGAGATGCCAAGTCAAGTGAAGAACAGAAAAAGGGAAGTAATGGTACTAAAGTACAAGTTAACTCCAAGAGTGTTGATAATTTTCTCAAATCAAAGATCGATGAAAAATCGTTGATATCTATTGACTATTTACTATTGAATGATCTTCCTAATTTGTTTAAAATTTGCAATAAAAAAAAATTTATTTCATTATTTTTCTTTTCTTGATAACAATGAAATGCTATTCTTGGATTATGTCATCTAAATGCCTCAGAATGTTATATAAGTAATCAGTGATAATGAAGCTAAAGATAGTCGCGTTAATTAAATGATTTCTGTTGAAATAATCATAGTAATGGTCGTTTTTGTTTGAATCTACTTTTTATTATTTTTTTTTCTTAAACTGTTCACAAATAGATGAAAAATGAGATCAATGTCACACTCGGTCAAGTGAAATGTTAGTGTTTTGCATACATATGTTGGCTTATGAAGTATATACTAACCGTTCGATAAAAGGGAGACAACCTACCAGATATACCAGCAGAGTCCTTGGTATGGTTAGTAGAACCGGTCCAATTATATCATAGCGTGGTTTTACTCTACAACGGTACTCTTTCAAACACATTCGTCGTACAATTTCAGAAAAAAAGCAAATGGGCAAATACATATGTTTTAGGTATCGAATAAAAAATAATTAGGTAATTTAATCGATGTAAAATCATGATAGTGGTCTATTCTGTGTTTAACAGTAGGAATTAATTGTTTATAGCAGCATTTAAATGATGGGAAGTAATAAAATAATTAATCAGATCATTAAATTAATTCCCTTGTTAGGAGCTTTTATTTTCAATTGATTAAGATCATTACGAGCATTTTAGCAAACATTTGCGTAAAATAAAAAAATACTTATCCATGGCCATATTCAACCCTTTTATTTTATTACTCTATTCTTGACTACATTGGAAAGGGAATTTCTGCATTGTTGATGAGTTTTATGCATCGAAAATAATTGATTAATTACCAATAAGCAGTGATCATGTTGAATAAAATTGATTTGAGGCTCAAAATCATGCAGAAAATTTTTTTTTCAATGTAGTTTTGATGTTAAATATAATAAGTAATGTTGCAAAAGTATTTGGCAAAATTAATTGTGTCAAGTGATGTGGGGTTCCTCCCCATCTTCCTTGTTTCCAACAGGTTCCTTGGCGGGGGTTGGCATGGGAGTTGGAGTACCAGGAATGGGCGTTAGCTGTACGTCAAATCCATTAGAGTGGACGGGTCAAGTGACAGTGCGAAAGAAACGTAAACCGTACTCCAAGTACCAGACTCTCGAATTAGAGAAAGAGTTCCTGTTCAATGCCTATGTGTCTAAACAAAAGCGTTGGGAATTAGCGCGGAACCTCAATCTTACTGAACGACAAGTAAAAATATGGTTTCAAAATCGACGGATGAAAAACAAAAAAAATAATCAACGTCAATCACAGCAGAATAATAATAACAATAACAATAGCAGTGCAAACAATGCAAATCATCATGGTACTACGACTGCTAATCATCACCATCCTGGCAGTGCTCACGGGCCATCGAGTCATCATGTCCAAGTTGGTCAGACGCATCATGCAAATGGCTCATCTAAACATCATCAGTGACCCGTAGCCTTCTCTGGGGTCGTCTTTGGCCACCAACCGCATCACGCATCCACCTCTATACACAGTGGTGCTAATACTCATGGTCTCGTAGCAGCTGCAGCCAGCCACAGTCTTCATGCAGCCCAGTCACAGCTGACGACACCTTTGCCACATACCACTTTAGCTTCTAACGTTCCAGCTGTTCACTCACATCATCCTCATCACTCCTCCCATCAACTGGCTCACATGGCGACACACCACCAACACTCTATGTTGCTCCATCAAACTAGCCATGGTCTTGCTGCTTGAGTAATTGGCAAGAAACAATTGCTCGATGAGCAGTTATCATCACATCCATTAAGGTAATGAAGAAAACCTGTGAATTATATCACAGAATGCAATGCAGGGCTTATGGACCCCCAGAGATTTATGTATCAAGTACTCATCTATATTAACAGGTATCCAAGGATATGTATATTACGTCATTATAGTCTTGAGTCGAACTCTGCACGTGCACTCATTATTCCTTTTTTTCTGATGTGGAGCAAGAGACTGTCGAGTGGTATTATGTTGATGATTTTGACTGCTATATGTTGAAAAGAGTAGATGTTATAGTATGAAAGATTAGACGATGAGAGAATGAACAAAACTGTGTACTTATATTATAAGAGGATGAAAGACAAAATTATTTCATATTTAATATATTTTATTATTTTTTGTTAAGTAATATTTTTATTTAGTTTATTAATTCAGCATAACTATTAAATTGAATCCTTTAATTTTTTTATTAAATTTTGAAATTTTATATGAAATATTTGGAATAAACCATTCTAACTAAAATATCAATCAAAATAATTCTTGAAGATTCCACTATTGAATAGAAACCTCAAAAAAAAATTTCAATTAAAGGAAATGTAATAAAATGACTAGTATTATGTTGAAAATACTTTTCTACGAATTTATTAATATAAAAAAATATGGGAAGAAGCTACATATTATTCAGATAAGATTTTGTCTTTCGCCTTGATTCGTGTGTAAACAAGAAGAGTTGCAATGACGTCAGATGGACTTCATTATTATGAAAAGAAAAACAAGATTCATCTGAACAATCTGTCCAATTCGTAACGCGATAGTATTTCTCCACAAATGCGTAATACATGGAGTAGAGTAACAAAAAAAAACTAGTAGGAAATTAGTCTTGTCTAATCGATTCCCCTAAATACCTTACTAGTGGATTAATTTTCTATTAAGTATAAAATAATAAAATATTCCATAAAATACTGTGTACTTAAATAATGACTGGATAAAGAAAATCGTAGAATAAGGGGAAAGTCGATTCAGGACTTGGATTTAATTAATAATCAATTATCTCGTTGAATTTAATCATATTGAATTGGAATTGTTTTTGAAACAAAAGAAAAAACGAAATTTTGTGCTTCGCTCATCCAGCCGCCCATATTTGCCGATAGTTATTATTATTATAGTAATGTAGATGGATTTAAATAACTGAATTAGACATAAATAACTAAACTGTGTAGTAAATTAAGAGTATTGACCCGAAGGGAGCTAGAGAGGTGTACAGTCGTACATGAAATTCGATAATTAGTTCATTCAATAATCATTGTACTTATCTTCTATTGATAAAAATTTTCCAGAAAGAATTTTCAAATCGTGACGGGTCGTTGGATTAAATATTGTACTTATCTGTATTGCGATTTGTACTCTTTATTTCAAGCTCTTTTCGCGAGTTCAACCCATTAAGAATGACTGATGTATGCTTAAACAAAAAAAATATGGATGTATAATTTGTTGGATTTCTCATTGATCTCCTAATAAGTAAATTCCCTGTTTTCGTTTACATTCTTTTATTTGATTTTTTGATATTTTATTAATGTGAGTTGAAATTAAAAATCTCGTTTCGAATTTATTGAATTGAAATATTTGCTACGTTTTCCTCAATTAATCAAAATTGTTAAAAGTATTGTATAAATCTGAATATAAAATCCCTCTAAACTTCATTTTGATGAGGAAAATCTTTTTTATAAAGTTTAAATGATGCTCTTGGACTAATGAAAAAAATTCTAAAGAATAAAAAACGATGAATTCGAAACGTGAATCAGCCAGAGTCAAATAAATAACTGACTGTGGGAATAGTGAGCTATGCGTTACGTTTTATTTTATGTTTGTGTTTGTATGTGGATATTATGCACTTGTGGCAGGTGTACTGTGGATGAAAGTTGTGTGTATACTTCAATATTTGAAGCCGCAACATTTTTAAAAATTCACTAAACCGAATTACAATGAGTGTATAGTTTTTATTCCTATAAAAAAAAGTGAAGAAAGGGAAGAAAAATTATAAAAAAAAAAGTCGGTGCTGTCATTTGCTTGTAAAGACTTAATAAAAACAGTTTAGACGAATATAGTCGTCGCGATACTTTTAAAAATATTTAAATGAAATAATTAAAAAAAGTACTACCACTGTAATTAGTGATAACACTTATTATGTTAATGAAAATGTTTTAACAAGATTTAGCAGTTATTAAGATTATAATTATTACGTTTATTATTATTAATGATTAATAATATTATAATTATTAAAACTATTATTATTGATTATTATTATTATTGTGAGCGTCACGTTAATATTATGTTATTGTTTTTATTGTGTGTTGTTTTATATGTACCTATCAGCCTAAATCATTATGATCGACATTATTGATAGTAATAATGCAAATGGAATACGATAAAATTATTTACATACTTATAAAGGAGACTAAAGAGTCGTGTTATTAAATGTGTATACTGTCTTGACTCGCTGATAGCTGTCCTAATGTAGTATGAACTTTCTATTTGAAAATTTTCACTATTTTCCAACCCTCTTATTCCTCTCCTTCAACTTAATTGAGTCATTTTTTATGAATTTTTTAAATTAATTATCGAACTAATAATAAAGAAATATTTTTTCTGTATAAAAGTCCTCTCAGTACGAATTTACCAGAGCATGATGTAGAGTATTTAATGGAGATGTTATATTTCCATATTATTAAAACTTTTGAAAACTTGACGTTTTAAGTACAGTATGATTAAATAGATTAATAACATGAAGCGCGGATAAAGTTTCTGAATAAAATTCTCTCATATATCTATGACAATTTGCAATAAAGATATTTATAGGATATTTCTAATTAGTGAATTCTTGCTTGTGCGACTAATTAAATAACTTTTATTAGTATATAAATAATAGACGCTACTTGTAAATAAAAAATGAAGTATGAGACGTATACACTCTTGTATCCAAGTGCAATAATAAAAAATGTGTTTAATTAGTGCCAAAGTACAGCCTAAACATGGATATAAAGAAATGTTTGGAAAATTTTTTTATTAAAATATGAATTGATCAATTACAATAAACACTATCAGGATGATTAATATTCAAACAATGTCATAATAAACACTTTGTAGATTATTTTAATCTTACGATTTGTCACGGTTACGAGAATAATTCAAATTAACATTTAAAGTAATTTATTGTCACTAAAATTTTTTAGGTACAATAGTATTTATGACTAAGACTAAATAATTAAAATTAAGTCTGATTTGCAAATAATTTAAAATTATTACATTTTTTTAAAGATAAGTCTAAAATTATTCCAATAAAAATTATGTTGTAAATTAATAAACAAAATTATTGCAAATCAGTACATTTAATACATTTTTGTTATCTCACTATGCTTCAATATTTATTAAAAATAATTAAACAAATATTATTTTCATTTTATTCCAACTACAAAAAATTTTACATCAGTCCATTTGTTGTCAATTTGAAAAAAAAAACTGCAAGAGAATTTTCCTTAGCATTAGAGCAAGAGGAAAAAAACATCCCCAAGTCCTGAAAGTCCTTGATGTCAAAAAAAAATTTGTAAGGTCAATTGTTTTCGTAGATAATTCCGAAATACATTGCAGTATTTAAGAGCGTATGACGCGATAACAATAATTGAAAAAAAAGAAGAAAAAGTGAATATAACTGTTATGAGCTTGAACTGGAGAAAAATCTTTAAGACAAGCCGACCTCATTGCACCATCGTCAATAATTCTTTTATAAAAACTAATTAGTTGACGTCACAAACATATATAATATCTCACGACCCGAGAATCGAATTTTAATTGCGCTATGTGAGTATTCATGTAACAAAACATTCATCAGAATCAATTTAATCGTACTTAAACATTTATAAAGACTTAATAATTTATATTTAAAAAATTAATAATTATAATAAAAGAAAAATTAACGAGAAATGAAAGAAAATTCTCTTTTGTTTATAGTAGAAAATAAGCATCGAATCTTTCATTATCTATATAAGATATTCAGCCTATCTAGTTTTCCTGAATAATGTATGTATAAATGTACGTGTATCTTTGTAAATAAAGGCATATTAACTTACTCTTATGCAATATCTTAAAACACAACATTTATTAGAAATAAATAATATCGATGTATTGGGACGAAAATAAAAAATAGAAAGACTTAAAATAAGACAGGACATGAATAATGATCTGTCAAGACCGTTATTTTCGGTCGTTAACTGCGTTAAAGATCAACAAGTAGTTGCAGTTAATTTTATTTCCTTTTTGATAGGATAAAAATTACACAAACCACATCGTTATTCATATGGTAATTAATTAATCAAGGTTTAAACATTGTTGCTTTTATGATTAACCATCTGTTAATTGCTGCATTAATTTTTTAAATACTTTTATCGAGCTTTTAATGACAGGTAAGTGCTTCCTACACTTTATTGTGGTATTAAATCATTTTTTAATATTTCTATTCAGACTATTATCTTTAGCTACTTTACTTTAATCTATACGAATAAAAAGTTTGAACATATTCGAAAAGCACTATAACAAATATAAAAATAATTCAACAATAGTGTTTTGTTCATCAAATTAATGGAAAATATTTTTTTAAGAATGAAAGAAATCAATGAAAATGAATCAGTAAAAATCAATGTGGAACAGTTTATTTACACTGATTTATTTTTATCAAAAATTTCTTGTGATTTTAATTATTTAATGTTGATCAAGTATTTTATTCCACCTTTTCATTTTTATTAATTATTTTTTTTAATTTATTTTCATCAGTATTTACTACATTACAAGGATTATTCTAATCAGCTTAATAAGCACGTCATCAATGACAAAGTAAATTCACTGTTTTTACGTTATTACATGCTATAAAAATAACGAACTCTATTACTCTTTGATCTGGTAATTGGATTAACACTCTCAGAACTGAGTGTATCTTGATAGTTAGATAGAAATGCTCAATCATCATTATTTTTACAATTTTTTCCCTAGACACTGATAATAATTTGCTTTTTTTCATTTCTCAGAAAGAATCAAGATTTTCTTTTCCAAGTAAATTAAGCGAAAAAATAAATCCAAAAAATTTTATTACTCTCACAAGATGATTGAAAAAAGGAATGATGTTGACTAGTTCATTATTGATCTCGGATGTTTTTGTAAAAAATTGTTTAATAATAAATTGAAGCCATTTTTTAGCAATGAATCATATTCTAACCGTTATAGTACTTGAACTATATATTAGATCTCTAGTTCCCAGACATTCTAAACTGCATCCAATGATACCTGAGTAGATCCAGGTCAAGCCTTTAAACTTTCCACCGATAGAAAAAATTGGAGGTATTATAGACCAAAGAAGAATGAACCATCGATGCAATAACAATTTAAATCCCTAGATCTATTTTAGAATTCATAGTGATCCTCTCCAAACACAACCTTTAAATATTCTTAGAAGCAAAAAAAAATTAGAAATCGTCTAAACTCGCTTTCTAATTCGGTCGAATAGTTGTATGCATCGTCAGTCGTTTTGAATTCACCATTTGAGCATAAACTTGAAATCTTTCTTGGTGAAGTATTCTCTATGTCACAAATAAATATTTTATTTTCATTTATTACAAAAGTTGAGCAAAAAAAAATGTTAAGTAGATTATTTAGTGAATTGATTGAGCAATTCAAGCATTAAATAGCCGTGGTATCTTACAAATTGAATGGAAAATAAAAGCAAATCGACTGAAGAATAATTGAGGAACGAAAAAATGTAGAAATATATAAATGAAGTGAATAAAGTTAATCCTGTAAAAATTTACACATAAATGACTATAAAGTGAAGTGGCTCGTGTGGTGTAGTATGCAAAAATATGAAGATATATATTCATTTCAATCTTTTATAAATCCAGTCCAACATCGACCAATCCTAGAAGCTTAGAGCTTTAAGATCCTGGACTACTCATCAGTTAAATTACTCATAAACATATATAAGAATGATTTAAATATAAAATGGTGGTGAGTTTTTTTCATTTTTTGTTGCTGATCAGACTAACATTTTTCACAGGATTATCACAGGATAATCCTTCTTCTTCCTTCATCATAATTAACCACGGATTTCATGCATAATTAGCCAGTTTTGAGCTCAATTAAATTTGCATTTTACATTCATGTTCTTACAGAATAAAATCATCTGTTTATTAGTTGAGAAAAAAATTTTCGTTGAGTTGAAAGGAACTGATTATTGATTGAAATGAATGTTAGGTAATTGGTGTTGTTTTTGTTGAAGTAAAATTTGAGAGTGTTGAGGATATTGACTCCTCCAAAAAAAGTCAAAAATGGCGGTTTCAAACACTTCACTTATCCCTCTTAAGTTAAGTGTTCTTTCATGGACCAGGGAAAAAAGTGTACGCCCACACTGGACCTTCCAATGAAATCTTTTTACCTTTTCTTTTGAATTCTATTTGTGCATTACCTCAACCATGCAATAGACATTTTTAACCAGTGTTGTCATCAGTATACCTCACAAACGCCCAAATATTATTTTCCATCAACCTAAAAACAATTTTCTTTCATTTAGGAAACTCATTTAGGTCATTTGTTTTCGATCAATTTCATTTAATAAATTTTTTATTCAAAATTTTTACTCAAAACAACATTACGTTACTAAGAAAAATATGATACTTTCGAAAAAAAATTTAATTCAAGTCATTTTGCTTGATTATGTCCAGAAAAATAATTTAAGTCAAATATTTTGTTTTGAGTCAATAATTTTTTTCTTGGAAACAGCATTTGTTTTTCTCAATTTCCCTTTCCTCAACCCTGTAGACTTTGAATATAATTTTTATTTCTTCTATTAAGTAAGAAAAAATTCTTTATCGATGAAAGAATAGATTATTTACAAATTCCCTAATTGTTGGTGTCAATAAGCTTTTTTATAGTAGAAATTATTTATTTTCCTAATAAATTTTTATTTGTTTAATTTTTTTTTCTAACAATCCATCAATTATTTTTACCTTATTTCATTTTATCAAATCAAACAATTAAGAGTAAACCAAACGTTTTTCATTTCCGTTATTATTTCATCCTACAGATTGAATTTTATCGTCTAAACGACTTGATGTTAGAGTTGAAATGGTACAAGGGTGGAAAACGCTCTTATTCTCATCAACCATTTGGTGTGTGAGGCAGGGTTGGTCCGATGAATCTTGAGTAAACGTAGTGTTATATAAACCTAGAACGAGAGTGAATTATCCGTGTACATATATATACACCAAAGTAGATAGACTATGTACTTGTGAGATTGCTCGCCAGAATAATGTGTGAGAGTGGAAACGGATCATTTGCTTTTATTTGGGTTGCTTTACTCTGCTGGTCATTCTATTCGTTGCAGAATGCGACTGCGCGTTAATAAATATTTAAAACACGTCTATGTATGGGTCGAATATACTGATTTAACATTTATTCCTATTATCAAATGTACTCCTGCATGAATATTTCCGCGATCGTAAAAAAATTACGGAAATTATTTAATAAGTTAAATAAATTCAAAAGTGTCTTTTTTTTTGAAATACTTTCTTATTGGTACAAAAATAGTTTTCATATAATTTTGTTTATATAGATTCAACAAGAATAAACTTAATATATATAATGCCTAAAATTATTAATCATAATCTTAATAATAAATTGATAGACTACTCTGTAAAAATGAAACAGTGAAAATAATGAAATGGACTAAAAAATCAGTAAAT